GGAGTATCATTATATTGGTCATTTCTACCCTGTGGTTTTCCTAATTTGTCTAAATTCAACAGCTGCAGAATAAGGAGACTGGAAAAACAAATCTTAAATAATTGTGTATAACAGTTGAGTTACAGCTCTTTCAAGAAGTCATTTGAGCACACATTTGAAGTAAAAATGGGATTTTCAATCAGTTTATAAGAGCCTTGCCAGATGAGCCAAAAGGCAGCACCTGAAAATCAGATAAGAAGTGGAGGGGGGGACGCTAGTTGCATATTATGTTGAATCCTCCGTTTTTTACAACAGAGCTCTTCAACTTCTTTTAATTCAAATTGGATTTTTATTAGAGTTTCTACCTTGGAGACCACAGACAAATTGCACAATGTACCTAACAATATCAAAATGGACTAGAGTGTGGTACTTCCGATTTTGTTGAACTACAGCGCTCAGCATCCCTAACTGTCAATCATGTTAGCTGAGGCTTTTGGGAATTGAATGTTAGCAACATCTGGATAGCCTGAAGTCCCTTATTCCATTTCAGCCTTTAAGAATTTGAGTGACTTTGATGGGGCATGCACTAATGAACAATGGTCAGTGTGAAAAGCAAAGTGCTGGTTAGCTTGCATCACTTTTACAGTATCAATATTATATCCTTTGCATAAGGATTGCAAAAAATGTTCTATGTGGTGGAGGTTTCAGTGATAAGCAGAAATTTGTTTACCATAGGCATGATAATGAGTGTGTGCAATGGAGCTATCAACTGAGCTTTCCTGAAGTTTCAGAGATGGTCTTCCATTAGCCTGGGAAGCACAGCGAGTGGCAAAGAACTCTGGGGACTGTAGTCTAGACTTAAACCTAGAAGTTTCACCTGTCCTTATTATGCAACAATTTATTGCACCAAATATCATTGCTCTTTTTGTCTTATGGAAGCCCTATATATAGCTTGCAAGGTTTAAATTAGTGTTTTTCTTCCCTCCATGCTTTTCTTTCTTTTCTTTTCCTTCTTCCTGTTGAAATTACAGGACTGAATAAAACTGTTGTCAAGCAAAATCAATACAGATAGTGCTAAAAATGCCAAAAAAATGGGGGAAATGACATTAATTTCTTTATTCACTTTTATCAGTATAGTTCAGTTTACAGTGTGTTTTCCAACACACTTTAAACTGATAAAAATTGCAAAATGTATATTAAATTTGGAACATTTGCACCCAAGAAATATCATCCAAACAGGCTATGTATCTTTTAAAGTATTATTTACTTATTGAAAATAATAAGTATTTAAAAAATTTAGGTTCTTATGTGTATGATATTGTAAAAATCTTGTGTGTGTGTGTGATATTAAAAAAAAAAAAAGATGAGTCTTTCCAACTTTTGCAGCTGGTACGTGACAACGCAGATCTTCGTTGTGAACTTCCAAAGCTGGAAAAACGACTTCGAGCTACAGCAGAGAGAGTGAAGGCCTTGGAAAGTGCTTTGAAGGAGGCCAAGGAGAATGCCATGCGGGATCGGAAACGGTACCAGCAAGAAGTGGACCGCATTAAGGAGGCTGTCAGAGCCAAGAACATGGCAAGACGAGCCCATTCCGCTCAAATTGGTATGGATTCTGCCTCCTAATACAGAGGAGTCCTTGATGTATAATCATAATTGTGTCCAGAGTTTCAGCTAATAAGCAGGGCAGTTGTTAAATAGCAATTAGCAATAGCAATTAGATTTATATACCGCTTCATAGGGCTTTCAGCCCTCTCTAAGCGGTTTACAGAGTCAGCATATTGCCCCCAACAATCCAGATCCTCATTTTACCCACCTCGGAAGGATGGAAGGCTGAGTCAACCCTGAGCCGGTGAGATTTGAACCGCCGAACTGCCGAACTAGCAGTCAGCTGGTGGCTTGCAGTACTGCACTCTACCCACTGCGCCACCTCGGCTCTGAATGATTCAGACATGAATCATTTCATGAATCATCATGAAATGATTCATGTCTGATTTTACAAACTTTTTGCCCTGGTTGTTAAGTGAATCACATGTTAAGCGAACTCAGCTCCCCCCACTGACTGTGATTGTCAGAAGGTGGTTGAAAAAGGCACAAATGATGATAATCTGACTATAGGATGCTGCAACTACTGTAAACATGTGCCAGTTGCCAAGTGCCCAAATTTTGTTCATGTGATTGTGGGGATGCTGCAACAATTGTAAGTGGTTATAAGTCACTTCTTTCAGTGCCACTGTAACTTCAAACAACCACTAAACAAATGGCTGTAAATCAAGGATTATTTATAAAATACTCTAAGCTCACAATAAATTCAGCAAATACCATGGGTTTATGATTTTTTTCCCTGGGGAAAATACTTCTATTTTTAGGTATAAATGAATAAATAAATAATTGGTTTTAGAAGAGCATTCCTGAACAGTGACTTCAGGAGTTTTATTACTTTGTGAGTATTAACTTGAATTAAATTTGATGAGTTTCAAAGCAGTTGAGTACCAAAGTAGCACTGTACTTTCAATCTCATGTTGCAAAGTACTGTGTGCTCAGTTGTTTTGCTTAGTCCTCAACCCATTTTGATACAAAAAGTTTGTCCCGGTTCTTGTTGTTTGTTTGCTACTCAACATACAAGCTAGAACTTTTCAGTGTCAGCTTCCTTGTGACTCACTATATTATTCCTTATGGGAAAAATTCTTTGGTACTCATTGTTTTTGGTACTCATCATACCTCCTGAAGCCAATCAATGATGGGTACTGCGGTACCACTGTACAAAAATGCAACATTTTTGAAGCTGCTCAATGAGACTTGCAGAAAAATGTGGCTGTGTTAAGTGATTTGTAGAGAGATGTTTGGTTCTTAATCCCACATATTGTGAAGGATTATATTCAAATACTTTGCACGTCCCTCAACTAGTTGTCACGTCTTCACTTTATAAATAAAAAATAGCAACAGAAGACTTCACTTCGCTAGTTTTTTTATTTTTTTATTCATAGACAAACATACCCATTATCTCTTGTTCATACTGTTGTTGCAGCATTAACCATCAAACACAACACCTTTAATACCTCTGCACTTAGCCTGAACCCAAAATGCAGTTTTCATATAATTTGTCCAGATATATCTAACCAAGTAGTTTCTGTGGGATACATGAAATTGATTATTCCTACTACCTATTAATTTATTGTGTTCTGTCATCTTGATGATATTAATAGCTTTGTCAAAAACCTAATTTACACTATTGGTTATTACACTTGTAGTTTTGCTATAGTACTTGAAGTGGTAGCGGGGGATTCATATAACTGATTATTCCTTTCCGTATTAAAATACTTGTAGGAGAAATTCTTCCAACTTCAGAAGCCAAGAGAGGAGAATAACAAACTTTTGAAAGCAGATAAAAAGACAAAATCAATTTGAGAACAAAAACAAAGGAATCTATGGTATTTTTCAATGAGAAAGAATTTATGAATTGTATATTATTGTTTGGAATATCTGTGGAATTAGCACTTTAGGCTTCCCACAGAGGAAAAAAAATCAGGTTATGATTGTTTGGAAGAAGAGTAGTCCAGTCCTTGGCTTAAAACAAAAAAAATTCCTTGACTTTGCTTTTTCTCTTTGCAGCCAAGCCTATTCGCCCTGGTCATTATCCAGCATCATCTCCTACAGCCATTCATGCTATTCGGGGAGGTGGTGCATATTACCAAAACATGAAGTAAATAACAGGTAAGTACATAGGTATTTGTAAGTTACTGTACATACTTACAGTCTACCAATATAGGTTCCGAAAGATTTCATAGCTCAGTCACAATAGGAAACTTATCTTCACCAATCCTGAAGGTCTTGAAGTGGGACAGCTAAGATAAGAACAGCCAGATTGAAGACCAGACTTGCAAATAACTCAACTTGATCTGGGAATATGTTTGTTAGTATGTATTGTATGCCCAAGTAGACATCCCTCTAGACCAGAGATGGGGAACAATTGCCCTTTATGACTTGTGGACTTCAACTCCCAGAATTCCTGACCCAGCAGGGCTGGCTCAGGGATTCTAGGAGTTGAAGTTTACAAGTCATAAAAGGGCCATAGTTCCCCACCCCTGCTCTAAACCATTAGAAATATAGTTACTTTTCCAAGACAATCCATTGAATAGCTGGACTTGAGGATGAATCTGAGTTTACTCTTTGCCAGTTCTAACTCAATATCCTTATTTTAGTGTTTAGTATCCTGATATAAGTAGTCAATTTGAGTGCAATCCAAAATGAATAAAGCTTGAGAGAGTTTAGATCAAACACACACTAGAGTTGTTGTCTCCCTTCTTCTGATTTAAGGAACTTTTGCTTCATCTTTTGGGGCACCTGATCGATAGAACAAAACAGACTGTTCTTTTCAGCAGTCCCAAACCACTGCTTGGTGCAATTTCTA